TTTACCTGCAATTCTCCCATCCACTGGGGCTGACAGGGCTGTAGGAAAGGAGCAGCTGGCATCTGCCCTGCAGCTGCCCTCCGAGCTGTGATAGGAGAGGTTCAGTGGCCCTGCATGGCTGCAGGACATGGGCTGTTCTGCACAACCCAGGCAGGAGGAAACAGCCATTGGAGCAGCCTCAGCGCTGCAGCCCATCCCTGGAAATAAAACAAAGCCAAAGCAACCCTGTGGTGCACGACAGCAGGTACCAGGAGATCTTGCAAAGCTCCAGAATCAGTGAGAAGGGACAGCCCAGGCTGGTTATCAGCCCAGACAGAGGACAGGGATCCTAAGGAAACCATGGGATTTTCCCAAGGCAAGAGCAGCAGGAGGTCCAGGGGGATTAATGGAGATGCCAAGGAGAGTGAGGAGCAGATACAGAAGAAAAGCTGGAACAGGTGATTGCACCAGAATACAGATTCTTGTACTGTAAATTGTTGTGGAGGCTTAAGATGCTCATCACCCTACAGCTGAACTGACAAAAGAACTGAGGAAAACACTCCCAGAGCCACCTCAGTGCAAAGCCACTTCCCTTATGGGCACACATAAGCCTCACTGGCCCTGACCAGCCTCACCTGGGCCTCTCCCCATTGGCCCAGAAGCTCTATTTAAGCTCAGCCCTGGATCCCCATTCCTTTCCCAGCTATGCTGCAGGAGGACTGGTTTCTAGCCAGGGTTGTGCCTCTGCCTGGTTATCAACCCTCTGATCCAGATCTCAATCCATAGATAGACTTCCTAATGTAGCTATAGCCTTGCCTGGCCACCATGGACCCACCTAGACTTGATCTGATCAGACCTGCTTCATCACTAAAAGCTTTCCTAATGACCTGGACTCTGTTGGACCTGGCTGCCACTTCCAGGACTGTCCTGCTACCCTGAAATAGGATGGGATGGATTTAGCTGCTTGAGTTTCAAACCCCAGATGCACGCAACCCACTGTAGCTGAGGACAAGTTCTGCTTGACAGACAGCTGCCATTCTCCATCATACCTTTCTCTGTGCTCCTGGCTTCTCTGAAGGGTGAGTTCAGCAAAGGGCTGCACACCAGAACTCTGCGTTGAGTCTTAATGTACTGAAGTATTTCATATAGCACATCACCTGCAGGGAAGGGAAGTCTGCTCAGATGACTTGGTGTTACAGTCTCTCTCAGTTGATGTTGTTGCTTAGATTTCTGTGCCACAAAGAGGTTGTTCCCATCCCAAAGCATTTACAGTCCAGATATATTAAAGGTAGAGGGCTGTCCTTGTCTCCAGCACCCAACTGGTCAGAGCTAAAGCCTGCTGGGACCCAGCTTGTGCTGTACTTGGGTGGGCCTCAGAAACACCCTTGCACTGAGTCTAACCTGAGCTCGGAGCTCGATATCTGAAGTCATCCTTGGTGAGGATGCACAGGGCTTTGCCGTTCATTTCAAACTTGCTGTCGTCAGCTGGCCGAAGGGAGAACTCTGTCTCAGCCCATCTTAGCCAGTGGATCACGTCGTCCTTGCTCCACAGGGAGGGCTGGATTCCTGAAACCAGGGGCATTCTCTGAAACAACTCAAGTCTCCAGCTCCAAAACTGCTGGGGGGGGGGGAGGGCAAGGCGGGATGCTGATCGTTTCTATCACCAAACTTTCCCTCTAGATTAAGAACTCAAGCCAAAAGCACCCCTAAGAGGGAAAGTGAACCCTGATGACTGGTCCATCTTGTGCCCCTTGACCACAGGGAGTGGGCTCTGGGTGGGACACCACGGCTGTACCCACAATATTCCACCCTGTGGGAACTTGTGGGGTTTTAAGCAGCGTTGACTTGCTCAACATCGACTCACTCAGCCCGCCTGGAAGCGTGAAGATCTCCCCCTCGCTGCTGGGTGGGTGCCTGGCCTGGGATGGGGCTGGTATCGAAGCTGTGACAACAGAGCTGGGAGAGCTGATGGCTGCTTGACCCTGGGAAAAGAGATCAAACACATCAGTGGGGGGAATTCCCAGCTCTGGTCCTGCCTTTGCTTTGGATATGGCTCCACCACAGTAATTACTGCTCCAATCTGGTTTCTCACAGCAGCATGATGTGCTGTGTGCTGCTCTTCCACACTGGGTCTAGGTCCTTTGTCAGCCCCAGGATGAATCTCTGCTTGCCCAAGACACCATTAGTAAGCAGAGATCCCCCACTCTTTCCCCAGCTCTTGAGCACCTTTCCTTGAGTACCTGCCCTCATCCAGGCTCTGGATGTGGGATATCCATCCCCAGGGCTCCATGACTGCAGGGAAGTAAAAGACGGAGCCAAACCTGGCAGAGCCAGGTGCCTGTGCTGGTTCCTGTTTCCTGGAGCACCCTCAGGTGCTTGTTGGATGCCTTAGGGTTAAGGAGAGCCCTTCAATTCTTTAGAGTCATTAAAATAAAGTAAAACTGGTAATAGAGCTTAGATTTTTGTCTTAATATCACTGTATGAAGAGATATCTAACTTTTTCTGCAGGGACCATTTGGGCATAAATAGGAATAGCCAACCCATAGTTTAGGGAGATGTCTGCTCATCTTGCTCACATGCCATGAAATCCCAGAACCTCAAGAATTACTCCTTCCTCTTGGTTATTCACTAAAGAGCCCCTCCAGCATCACTGAATGGGGAAGATGGTTTGTGCTGGGAGGAGAAGCAGCCCCATCATCAGCATCTCTGCCTCCAGATCTCACCCGGAGCACGTGAGCCAGGAGGGAGCTCTCATCCTTTCCGCCCCATCTAGATCCTGAAATATTGCTGCCAGCCAGGCAGATAATGATTTCCTTCAAAAGTCTATTAATGTGAATCCCAGCAATTTATCAGCGTCATTCTCTGGAAAATTAACAGTTTAGCCTACAAATAGCATTTTCTGAAGCTCCAACACCCGCTCAGCTGGATGTTTGGAGGCGGTCAGAGCAGCCAGAGCTCCTCAGTGCATAGAGCGGTCAGATGAGCTGAGCCCCCCTGAAAATCAGGGCTGAAGAACATCAGGATGTGCAGTGGGAAAGCAGATGGTGCCGGATGTATTTTAAACGCAGAGCTGGTGTCCCCAGAAGGAGGAGCACAGGAGCAAAGTGCCTCATCCTCCCGGGGAAAACACTTCACCATCCCCTGCACTGGGCACTGGTGAGGCCGCACCTCGAATCCTGTGTTCAGCTCTGGGCTCTTCACTACAGGAGAGACATTGAGGGGCTGGAGCGGGGCCAGAGAAGGGCAGCGGAGCTGGGGCAGGGCCTGGAGCACAGTGTGATGGGGAAGGGCTGAGGGACCTGGGGGGTTCAGTGTGGAGAAGAGAAGGCTCAGGGGGGACCTGATGGCTGCCTCCAACTGCCTGACAGGAGGATGGAGCCAGGAGGGGCTGGGCTCTGCTCCCAAGGAACAAGGGATGGGACAAGAGGAACCGGCCTCAAGCTGCACCAGGGCAGGTTTAGATGGAGCTGAGGAACAATTCCTGCCCCAGAGGGTGCTCAGGCATTGGAACAGGCTGCCCAGGGCAGGGCTGCAGGCACCGTCCCTGCAAGTGTTCACACAGCGTGGAGACGAGGCCTCAGTGCCATGGGTCAGGGGTGGCCTTGGCAGTGCTGGGGTAAGGGTTGAACTGGGTGAGCTTAAAGGGCTTTCCCAACCTGGTTCATTCTGATTCCCTGTGACCCTTCCAGCAGGAGGAATGTTGGAGTTTGGTGATGGGCAAGGGGTTTTCTTCAGCAGGAGGATGAGTGTGCCTCAACTCCCTGCTAGCAGGAGTGACTGCTGCCTGGCTGGGAGGTTTAGCAAAGCACAAGCAGCTCTGTGACACACAGGAAACCAGTGAAAATCCAGTTTAAACTTTGAACAGGAACACAAGAGACCTTTCAGATTCATTTTGAGCAATAAGCTACAGGGGAAAATCAAAGTGAAAGAAATTAGTGGAGTATTTTGCCTAAAACTTCTCTAATAAAAGATATTTTAGTTTCCTCCCATCTGTGTGCCTCCCTTACAATAAGGCTTACAATAAAAACAGAACGAGTGGTTGGTATTTTTCCTGCTCCTAAAGATTTCTAGGGAATAAGAGATTCCTTCTGAGTTGTTAGTACTTGATATTATCACTTTACACCAGTTTCCTGCTCTCGCTTTTTTTACTGCTTTGCTGCTTCCACATGCCAGCATTTCCCTGCTTTGTGAGGAAGGGTTATCCTTGGAAAGGTTTGAGGGGGAAAAGCAAGGAAAAGGGGATGAAAACAAACCCCCGGCGAGAGCCGCTTTCTGCTTGGTCCCAAATGGGGGGTATGGAGCCCCCCCCGCTGCTCCGGGCTCCCTGAGGCCATTTGGAGGAGGATGGGGGTCACCCCGCTTCCCAGCATCAACTTCCACAACTTCCAGCCCCCATTGAGGTTAGCAAACCGGGGACATAGGGACCGGGGGGGGGCAGCCCTTACCTGCATCCCCGGTGGCGGCGGGCGGCCGGTGCCCACCGCGGTACCCCCCGGTGTCCGGCGCGGGCGGGTCCCGTCCCTGTGGCCGCTGCGGCTTCAGCGCGATCCTTCCGGGAAACGAAATCGAAACGAGCTTCAGCGGCGGGAGGCAGGAGAGCGGCGGGGCCAGCGCCCAGGGCCCGGGGATTCCCCCCGCCCCACTCCCGGTGCTGCGGCCCCGCGTCACCTTCACCACAGCCGCCGCCACTTCCGACCGGGGCGTTTGGGCGCCGTTCGCTGCCAGCACCGGTTCTCCCGGGGTCCCATCCAGCCGCAGAGGACGGAGCGCTCTCGGGACGATGCCGGGGCACAGCTCGAACAGCCGGTGTCATCCTTTGTCGGCACTGGGAGCGGCCCGGCGGGACCGGGCACCCCATGGGATGAAGACCGGGACCGGACCGGGAGCACGGAGCGGCGGTACCAAGGCCCACGCACCCGCCACCCCACCGGCATCTCTCGGTTCCCATTGGCCAGCCGGCTCTGACCGCGGAGCCAATCAGAAAGCGGCCCGGAAGGGGAGGGGCTTAGCGGCGGGACCCCGCCCTCTGCCAGGCGGAGGGAGCGGCCTCGGCGGGGACGCGGTGAGTGAGGCCTAAGGGCGGGTGAGGGGCGTGCGGGGCCTGGTGGGGCTTGCCCTTTCTCCTGGGGGTCTTAAGGCACCGTGGGGGCTCTTTCTCGCTCTCTGAGCTGGGGAGAAGCTTTAGGAGCCTTCCCGGCCCCTCTTAATGCTTTGAGGGTGATTTACGGGCATGGGGCCGCCGGTTGTGCTCTGTGTCCGCGGGGACTGAGGCCCTTCACGGCTCGGAAGAGGCCTTTGGAGCTCGAGGTCTTCCCCCACCTCTGCGAGCGCTGAGGGGGTGTCTGTGCGGTTCGCAGTGACTCCGCTGTTCTAGAGGGGCCTGTGGGGCGGGGAGGAGGTAGAGGGAGACCTGCCCCTCTGTGGTGTGTGCGTGTGGGGTCTTAGTGTGCACTGAGGGGGTGCTTCCACCTACCCCGTGTTTACTTGGAGAGGGACCTTTGGGGCCTCTCCTGCACTGCCTGGCAGGGGACTGGACCTTTCTCCTGGACTGTGTAAGAGGCCTCGGGGGCTTGACTTTACCCAGTGCTCCTTGGTGAGGCTGCTACTTGTGACCACCACCTCCAGAGCAGGAAGCATCCTCCTCTCAGGGTGCTGGTTGGTCACACTGCCCTCTTGTGCGTGGTCTGTTGGAGGCTGTACGTTTTTAGGTTTGAATCTACACCTTCCCTTTCCTCCTTCCTATCTGGCCCTGCTGTGGTTTGAAAGGGAGCATTCTGAGGGGTTTTCCCCTATATGGGTGCAGTAGGTGAGACCTCAGCCTGCCTCTGCTCATAGGCGCCGTTTTGTGTGATGCCTTTCCCTGTCTCTGATCCTGCTGTTGGATTCCCTGTGTTGTTTTCTCAATGACCTTAGGCCCTTCAAGGAAGGGGTAATGCTAATGCCAAGTCTTGGGTATAAACCTGGGAGGCTCGGAACACACCTCTGCAGGAAGAGTGTTTTGAATGCCTCTGCTGCAAGCACAAACCTTGTTGTTGCAGTCAGTTATGGCTGTAAGGCAGAAAATTCACCTGTGTTCTCTGTGTCTGCCTTATCATCACACTCCTTCCTGCTGGCGTTGGACTCGTGACCTGTGAATCGCAAGGAGGTTGTGTCTCGGGGATCAACAGAGAGGCTCAGCTCTCCCTTCTGAGGTGTGTCCTTGTTTACCCCGGTGCTGGCACTGTGACACTGCACTGCTGACAGTCACCTGGATTTAAGGGTTATAAATACTTCTGCCCTCAGTTCACCGAAGCACTTTCAGTGATGTAAGCATCACAAGAGTGAATTATTGGGTTCAAAAACTGTGGCTTAGTCTGTAGACAAAGCTGCTTGTGAGAGGTGTTATTCTTCACACTGGATTTACACATGCCTTTGTTACAATGGAGTGATTTTATTTAGGATGACAGTCACCCTTTAGTAAAATAGACTTGATGCTGTTAATAACCTCTTTGTACTTATTTCACTTTAAAAAATGCTCTTTTGCAAAGCAGCCTCTATGAGATTTGCTCATGTTGTCACAATTGTCTTTGTTTTCTATAATACCATCCATGTTAGAGGCTCTTCTATGGTCTGATCTTATGGTTGAAATGGAGTAGTTTGTCTAGACTAATCCTAAGTGAAGCTTGTGCAGAAAACTGTCCAAACCTAAGCTTTTAAGAACATGTTAAAAGTTGTGCTCTCACAGAGAAAGGTGTGTGCTGGGTAGGCTAAATTGGTGTTTGTTTCAAAACGAGTCATTTGCAGCACATATGATCCTTTTTGATCTCTTTCAGTACTGTCTTTTGCTGCTAGAATTGGGGGGAGGGGGAGGGGAGTTTTCTGTTTGAATTCGGCTTAAAAGGAGTGATCCTTCTGGTAGGAGTTCATCACATAATTTTGGGGGTGCCTTCTCTAGCTATTCTTTGTAGAGCTGAGTGAACCTCATTGAGTCCAGTCAAGCTGCAGGTGGCTACCTGGGAGCAGTTGTAGTGGAAAAGACTAAACTGGTTATTTCTATACTTCTCAACAGGGGTTAGAAACAAGTTATAGCAATGGCATTTGGGCTGTTTGATATGGATTGCATGTACCTACAGGCAGAGAAAGTGATTGGGGTTTGGGGGTTTATTGGGGTTGGCTTTTTTATCTGGAAAGGTTTTGTGATAGTTCTTTGAGTGGAAGGTAAGGTAGTAATTCCAGAGCCTCAGAAGCAGGAAGCCTCATCACTGGTCCTAATTGTGCTAACAGAGATGTATTGTCTGAGATCCACATGGATGTGACCAGGTTTGTTGGATGTGTCCAGTATAAAATAACTCAATGTTACACTTTATTTTCCTGTGCTGTAGACATGGCCTTACCTGAGTTATACACAGCAGCAATCTTTGTTTCCTTCCCCAAAGTATTTTTAACCATCAGAACTGATAAACCCTCTTACTTCAGCTGGCTTGATCACAAATCCGATCTTCCTTCAGTCTTTTTGAGGTGCCTTCACATCTCAAAGTTCAGCCTTCTCAGCATCCAGGAGATTTCATAACCACCTGCTTTAAGTCTTCTGCTCAGGCTATTGTAAACCTGGTTTCTATGTGGTGATTCAGTCTGTCTGTACAGGCCATGAGAAGTAAGAATCACATCTGGGTTTATTAGTTGATGCCTTCAGCAAAGTTTGGGGCATGCTGGGATATGTTTGTCACTCGACCTCATCTTGAACTCATTCCATGTGCCCGTGGCCGGCAGCCAGGTGTTTAGTTCACAGTGTAGCAGGGTAGTCAAATGAATCAGGGTATAATATTGTATAAAGTATAAAGTAATGCTTTTAACTCCACTTTAAATACCTGAAAAGTCCAAAGTAGAAAATTTGGGTGTAAAGAAAGATTTATTATTATTATTATTATCATTATTATTATTATTTACTTCACCCTTTGTAATGAATTTGCTGTCAGACTTCATACTGTATAGCAATTACCACCACCTTTGTCCCCATTTGCCAGAAGCTGTGACCATAAAGGAATATTGGCCAAGGAGCAGGCAGATGAGGTTCTGTATTAGTAATTGCATCACACATTGCAGTGCTGTTATGGCAGTGGCTTTGTGCTGGGAGGCTGATTCAGCAGCCAGAGAACTGAGAGAAGAGCTGCCTGCAACAGCACGTACCTGGGCAGGCTCTTGGTTACATGTTCCTGCCAATGCCAGTGTCAGACATTTCCTCCTACTAGAAAGTAAAATCCTGCCTGTCAAATGCAAAGTGACTCTCCCTGACACTTGGGAATGTGCTCTGGAACTGCTGCACTCTGCAGAGAGATCCCAGGGGAGTCAGTGGGTAAGGAGCTCGTTCTTGACAGGAAAAATGCTGATAAAGGCCACTGCAACTGCCTAACGGATCTCCTGAGTTTTTAATTAATTGCTTAGTAGAAAGTAAATAGAAAGTGCTCCCCAGGGAGGCTCAGGCAGCTCAGCTAAGATGGAGCCCTGGATGTATCTGTGCATGACAGGAGGAGAGGCCAAGGGGCAGTGGGTTGAAGGATATGCAGCTTTCCAGGGAATGGGATTACAATAGGAGTGCAGAGGTGAGGAATATGCCCTGTAGTCTCAGGTCTAGAAGTAGCAGGGAGATTATTTTTTACCAGGATAGTATTTGGACTCATGAACCTGGGTGACTGGGATTCCCCTACAGCAGACTGGTGATGGCACTAGGCTGGGTGTAATGTAGAACCACAGATGCAAGTGAGCCTTCACATGGGTGTGCTTGAGGAGAAACAATTACAGACAGTGTAACTGAAGTCCTGCGACTTGCCTTCCCTAGGTCTCATTTCATCAGCTTTCATAGCTGCTTCTCCTAATGTCTCTTGTTGCAGGTCTAATTTGCAGTTTGTGATGTGTCCTGACCTGAGCAGAGGCTGTGTGCTGGCCTGACTGTTTTTCTGGCTCCCTTTGTCAGGGGACTTTTGAAGGTTTCACGAGCGCCAAGTCTGAAACTGGGAACTAAAATCAGTGGCTGTTAGTCTTAGAAACAGCATTGAACCTGGGCTATAGTCACTGCAGTTCAATGTTCAATAACTCCATCTGCAATGATTGGGATTGTTTCTCCCCTGGCTTTTGCACTCAAAACAACCCCAAATGTGTTATGCCCAGCTATTAAAAGTGGTGTTCATCCACTGATTGCTCCTGAGTTTGGGAATGTTCAATCATTGCATCAGTTTTGCTGCTGAGCAGATAAATATCATAACACTCTAGTGACCTATAAATTGGAGCAGGTCATATGAATCCCACTGTCAGTGACCGGAGAACTAGTCACAATTTACTGTGAGGATAAAAACTGCCTGGGATCCAATACTGGAAGAGCCAAAAGAAGCAAGAAAAAAAAAGGGGATAAAGGAAACTAAATCTCTGTCTTTATAGAGAGATGAGAGCACAGCCTTTTGTGTGTCAGATTTGCTCCTGTAATTTGTGGGCTACAGGGCTGTTGAAGAGGGGCCTTCATCAGGGACTGTAGCAATAGGACAAAGGGGTGATGGGTTCAAACTGAAAAAGGGGAAGTTCAGGAGGGATCTAAGGCAGAAGCTGTTCCCTGTGAGGGTGCTGAGGCGCTGGCACAGGGTGCCCAGAGAAGCTGCGGCTGCCCCATCCCTGGCAGTGTTTAAGGCCAGGCTGGACAGAGCCTTGGGTGACATGGTCTAGGCTGAGGTGTTCCTGCCTGTGACAGGGGGTTGGAACTGGATGAGCTTAAGGTCCTTTCCAACCCAAACCATTCTATGGTTAAAATTTCTTAGTCATACGTTCAGTGTCTAAAGTATGTATTGCAAGAACTGGGAAGTGAATGCAGCGTCCCACTACTTCTCATGAAATAGTGCTATGTCCCTGTCCCACGTTTTGGGCTGTAGTAGTTTAATGCCTTGAATCAGAGAGTTCTCAGAAGGAAGCAGGGGTTGGCAGCCAGAAAAGAGCAGAACTGAACCTTGTGCTTGATACTCATCACATGAGTAGTGTGAGAACATGCAGGTCCCCTGGTAGCCAGCTCTGTGACAGCAATAAGACATGGGGTATAATCATCATCGATTGCTGCTGGTAGGTAATGCTGCTTGAGTGTGAAGTTTCAGCAACGTGGCTTTGAAAAACAGATGAGGAAAGCAAAAATAATGAGGCCATGCTTAATAAAAGATGGTTTCCTCAATAAATACAGTTTTGGATCTAGGTAGTGTCCTGGGTCTCTTGGAGTCCAGCCCCATGGCTCACTTTGCTGGGACTACAGCTGATCATAGAATCACAGAATACTTTGGGTTGGAAAGAACTTTAAGATCGTCCAGTTCTACCCGCCTGCCATGGGCATCATGTTTCCTGATACCAGTCCATGAGTCCACATGATGCTGGAGGATGTCCTGTTAACTCATGGTTAGGCACATACCCCAGCTTCAACTATTTTCACAGTTGACATATTTTTCTCTTAAGTGCTGTCTGGTTTGTAACTTGAAGGACAGCAGTTAGTTCTCACCTGAGGTGTTCCAGTAACTTGGAGAAAACACAGTGAAATGTCCATAAAGGAGGTGAGTAGGAAAAGGCAGGAAAACTCTTTGCAGCCGCTGTGTTGTAGCAGTGACAGCAACAGAGTTTCTGGTAGGACTGGAAATCAGCTGAGGCACAGAATCCCAGGCTGGTTTGTGTTGAAGGGAGCTTAAAGCTCATGCAGTTCCACCCCACTGCCACGGGCAGGGACCCCTTCCACTGGAGCAGCTTGCTCCAAGCCCCTGTGTCCAACCTGGCCTTGAACACTGCCAGGGATGGGGCAGCCACAGCTTCTCTGGGCACCCTGTGCCAGCGCCTCAGCACCCTCACAGGAAAAAACTTCCTTTTATCCAGTCTGAACTTCCCTTTTTTTCAGTTTGAACCCATCACCCCTTGTCCTATCACTGTAGTCCCTGATGGATAGGGTTGATTTTACAGGTCTCTTGTTCTTGTGCAGTTAATGCCATCTGCCAGTTCCACGTAACTGGGACACATACCAGAGAAAAACAGAACAAGGAAGCCTTAACTGACGTGAAAAGTAGCTCATGTCTTCTTCCTCTGGGTGAGTGGATTAAACATGGCATTGCACAATCTGTAGCCACAGAGAAGGTGACGTCTGCCTGGAGTGTTATCTGCTGCTGCAGTTGGGAGTTGTGAATGAGCTCCGTAATCCATTGACATAAAAGTTGTGACAGCACTCACAAACCTCCCTGTAGTCTGTTGTGTTTGGAGAAGTCACTTCGTCAGGGGTGACTGACCGATACAGGCTCAGAAGGTGGAAGTTTATGATAGCAAAGGCCCTTTATACAAATAGGGGAGTTAGAAAAAGACTTTACTGCATGTGCTGGGTATGGAATCCTCAGCAGTTTCAAAACTTGCTTAATTTCTGTAACTTTGTTCAGGAAAAGAAAAGAAATATTGGTTATTTAAATGTCAAAAAGTGCAATTTGCTGTTACAATTTGATTTGTTAAATCTATGGAGATTCTCAAATATATGTACACAATGTTTGGGTTTTTTTTCTTCTATGGACTGTTTTCTATAGGATCTACTTTGTTGGTTTTCGATTCAGGCAGTCCAAGTTGCAAATATGAAGAATTGTAATGTCCTTCAGGGATCTCCAGCTCAGGTGATTCAGGGAGATCTGTGAAACATTTCAGCTTTAGTATAAAGCGCCTCAAAACCTGAAGGTTTTTTTCATATCCATAGTTTTTATGAGATCCTTTTTTACCCTGTATAATGTTTGAGTAATTTTAGACTAGACAGGTTTCAGCTTTTACCCTTAATTCTGCTTATCTGTGGCTTAGGCTGCACAGCAATTTAAACCCTTCTTTTTGAGTGCGATCAAAAGCCATTGATTTGAATGCTGTACTAATGGAGAAGAATCATGAAGATCATGAGTCTTTCCTGGGCACGTGTGAGCTGCAGGTGGAACAAGAGCTTTCTCACCTCCCAGAACAGTTCCCTGTTTCCTGACAAAGATGCTGCAAGGGCTGGAGCAGCGCTGCTCTGGAGCCAGGCTGAGAGAGCTGGGCTGGGGCAGCCTGGAGAAGAGAAGGCTCCTGAAGGGGAGACCTTAGAGCAGCTCCAGTGCCTAAAGGGGCTGCAGGAAACCTGGAGAGGGGCTTGGGACAAGGGATGTAGGGACAGGCCAAGGGGAATGGCTTGAACCTGCCCGAGGGGAGACTGAGCTGAGCTCTTAGGCAGAAGCTCTTCCCTGTGAGGGTGCTGAGGCGCTGGCACAGGGTGCCCAGAGAAGCTGTGGCTGCCCCATCCCTGGCAGTGCTCAAGGCCAGGTTGGACACAGGGGCTTGGAGCAAGCTGCTCCAGTGGAAGGGGTCCCTGCCTGTGAAGGGGGTTGGAACTGGATGAGCTTTAAGTTACCTTCCAACCCAAACCCTTCTGGGATTCCTGAGCTTGGGGTTACCCCTGTCCCTGCAGCAATGTGTCTGTTTTCAAATATATGGGTGAGGCTGTTGTCATCATAACTGCAGAGCAATGTGAAGGCTGCTGTGACTCAGGTCAGTGTCACTGCTCCCAGCTGCTGGAGGTGCAGTCCCACTGCAGGGCTGGATGCTGTGGCTTTCAGAAAGACTTAAATGAAGATACTTGGTAATGAGGAGCTGTGTTCATGTGCAGGTTTGCTGTCAGGCTTGAGGAGCTGTGATAAACAGCTGGGTTTCAGGTGGTTGGCTTTGAATATGCTGTGTAAGATACTAAAGTGAAACCAGTCTAATTCTGTGTGTTCTCTAGTGTTGGCTGAGCCAGAGGAAGCTGGATTTCTGTTTACTGGTGTGGAGACCTCGGTGCACTCAGGCTGTGCTATATTTAAATGGTACCCTGTCTGTCAGATGTCCCTGTAACAGCATGTTCTTTGCCAAGATCATGGGATGAGCCTCTCCTTTTAAAAGCTGTTTTTGAATCTAAATTGTTTTGAGGAAACTGGTTAATATGCCACGGCTGGGGTATCCATGCCTTTACTTTGTGCTGTTAAGTCATTCCAAGACCATTTTAAAGGTGGTGTGGACAGCTATGGGAAATGCCATTTCACCACTTGTACAGTAGAATTGCTGCATGTCTGAAAGATGAAACTATTATTAATGCACAAAATAGACTCTTCTCTAGTCTCTCGCCCTGTGTCTTGCTGCTATCCTTAGTTAGGAGACTGTCAACTGAAAACAGAACCACTGTGAACTGAGACCAAAGATTGACAGTGGTGAGCCCTGACATGGACACACCAGCACCCTTGTGCTGCCCCAGCCATGGGGCTGGAAGCAGCATCCCCCACTGGTATTGAGTATGCTGAGGCTTCTGCCCATGTGAGTTCTGGTCCAGGTTTACCACCAAGAGGTTCACTTGGTGCTGATGGTTTCTTGGAAGTGTCTTTAGTTGGCAGCCAGACTGACAACAGCAAACTTGTTTCTTGCAGTGTATGGTGAGAGCTCTAAACTGTCAAGCTTTGGTCACATCTGATCAGGATTGAATTGAAATCCTGGGCTTAGAGAGAGCTGCTTTGTACATTAATAGACCCTTTTAGGCCCTGCAGTAAGACTCCACTTCTTGTTAAGGATTTATTAAACGCATGGATAAGCTCCACTACTGGCATATGTTAATTTCTTTGTGAAGGTCTTGGATTATTCAGGAGAACAGCTGAATATTCCTCCCAAAGGCAGCCTTTGAGGACAATTCCCTTGAAATAAATCAATTGTAACAAATCCTGGCCTTTCTTTTGCTTGTTGTCTTTGAGATAACCATGAAAGCAGCTGCAGTTTTGGCCAGAATTGCTCATGAACTTAAAAATGAGCTGGAGTGGACTGGTCTGGAATACATTTGCATCTTAGAACTTCCCCTTTTAAGAGCCACCTTACTCAGTGCCCAAATGGGCACCTTACCCCTGCACAAACACCTCGGTGCATGTGTTGGCATAAGCATCACCTCTGCTTTTTCTGTGTTGTATTTTTAAGTGGTATTTTGCCTTTCTTTAAACTTCCACAAAATACGGCTCTGGTTCCTGCCTCATTCAGCAGAAATGTGACACAGGCAAATATATTTTTGTGGAAGGAGTATTAGTCACAGAAGAATGTTATGAAATATACTTAGAAAGTGTTAGAGCTGTGCTTGGCCTGTGAACTGTTTACCCACACGTATAAACAGCTCGGGAGGAACTTTAACTCTTGCCAAGGTACCTGAGTTATTTTGAAACCTTGAGCAATGTGGTTTTCAGTTCTTGAAAATAAGGTCTCAGGTTCTGTGCTGACACAAACTGAGGGTGCCAAGGGGTGGCCTCACCAAAGGGACATTTTAGCCCCTGCTTTTGCCTCCCTAAAAATAAATCAAGATGTGTTTTCCTGAAGAGCTGCAGTGTGCTAAATAGAATGCTTGTGTTTATGTAGCGTTTGGGTTGCTTCAGTGTTACTTGCAGAGTTTACTCATGAGGCTGCACTCTAAAAGGTAGGCTTATGTTTGCTTTGCTTTTTGTTGTTGTCTGGATCTTAATGTGAATTAAACAACTTAATTTGGAGCAGTGCAGCTGATTCTGCAGCCAGTGTGGATCAGCTTTACTCTGCTTGTGCCCCAGCTCATCTCAGCCCTTCACCTGGGTAGCTAAGCTGTAGCTCTGGTGGCTTTATCTGACCCAGCTTCCAGCACCTCACTCTGCTGCCCTGTGGTGAGATACAGCAATGGGGATGTCCGATAATCCCCCAGCAGAGATCTGGTGCCAACCTGTCTCCTACCAAAGTGAGGTAAAGCTCTCCTGTGCTGGGTTATGACACCTGAGTGTTACCAAGCCTGGTTCTGCTCTTCCACACAGGGCACAAACTGCAGCCAGACCTCTCATCAGTGGCAGCAGAGCCCTAGGGCAGAGGTGTAAGGGGACATCAGAGCTTATTTTCTCGTGTGGCTCCACTTGCAGCACTGTGTGCAGTTCTGGTGTGCCCAGCGTAAGAAGGACATGGAGCTGTTGGAGCAAGGCCAGAAGAGGCCACAAGGATGACCAGGGCCTGGAGCAGCTCCCCTATGGAGACGGGCTGAGAGAGCTGGGCTTGTTCAGCCTGGGGAGAAGAAGCTGCATAGAGATCTCAGAGCAGCTTCCAGTGTCTGGAGGGGGCTACAAGGATGCTGGAGAGGGACTCTTCATCAGGGACTGTAGCGATAGGACAAGGGGTAATGGGTTCAGACTGAAACAGGAAGAAGCTCTTCCCTGTGAGGGTGCTGAGGTGCTGGCACAGGGTGTCCAGAGAAGCTGTGGCTGCCCCATCCCTGGCAGTGTTCAAGGCCAGGTTGGACACGGGCTTGGAGCAAGCTGCTCCAGTGGAAGGGGTCCCTGCCCATGGCAGGGGTTGGAGCTGGAGGAGCTTTAGGGTCCCTTCAACCCAAACCAGTCTGTGATTATTGAAGTACCTCAGTGAGCACTGAGCTCCTCCTGACCATAGCACAGATGCCTTTTCAAAACTGGAATATTTACTTTCAAATGTAATTGCATGTCAATAAGCAGTTTGCAGCTGGTTTTGTGATGTTGTGTAACTATTATTCTGAAATCTCTCTGGTGAACAGCAAGTGTGACCACATTCAACTTTCAAAAATCTATTGTTGGCAGCAGAGTGGAAAGCTATGCAATTGGTTAAAAATGAATGGCAGTTGGAGTTGGGAATGAGGGAGCAGTTACTTACCGGGATCTCTTCCAGAGGAGGAAGGTGGAGTTTGAAGCTGCTCATGGCCTTTCTAAAATAAGAGTCAAAGCAAGTAAGGGCTTTCTGCTATGGGTGAAACACCAACTTGTGATTTGTAGGAGATGAAAAGCTCAGTGAGAAGAGGAATTTTACTGTGATCTGAATGTTTCTCTCTACTGATATTCTGCTGTAAAATAATCCACTTGTATTAAAACTCTTGTGTACTTCAAAATACACTGATTAATACACTGATCCTCATCTCAGGAGCATCCACACTGGATAGTTTTTGTGCTGAAAGCAGAGTGGTTTATTGAGACTATGGTGCTGCAGTCTGGGTGTAGGTGCTGGGATGCTGTGTTGCAGGCTGAAATTGCAAGTGGTGGTGGCAGAAATGGCTCCAGGGACTGGCCTTGGGAAACTGCTTGTCCTGAGACCACTGTGGTGAAGCAGACAGCGGATGTCTGGTGCTGAGTCCCTCAAGTGTGAGCGGAAATGTTCCTTTGTCCCCTGCTGTCTGCTCCTTGCTCATTTTGAGGGTTTATGCTTTACTGTGTGTGCTGCCTTCAGCTTGAGCACTGTATGCTCTGGGGAGCTTTGCATCCTCCTGAATGATGGCAGCTTGCCTCCCCCTGTGTGGGTTAATGTGCCTCAAGTGATTAGAAGCTGTTGCTCTTCCTTTACATTCCCCCCAGTCTCTTTATTGTGTCCAGACACACCAGATAATCGGGCATTAAGGAATTAAAAGCTTGTTCCCAAGCCACAGGTAATGCTTGCAATGCATGGTACATACGTATAGTGCAAACACAAGTTTGTACATTAATGATGTGATATCCAACATAACATGATATGTTTGGTTTCGTTTGAAGATACCTCTCAAGGCATCTTTCATTAAGCTGTTTAGGTGCTTTGGATTGTTAGCATAACTTGCCAGCAGACACGCACAGATGCTTTATCACAGGTTTGAGTCAGGATGAAAATAGTTTCCTACTTATTCAGGTTCTCTTTGCATTAATTCTGTA